TGCAGGGAGAAGGGTGCAACAATAAATGAATAGAATTCCAAAATCTCTGTAGATGTTCATTGAAATGAAAATTAAACAACCTAAATAAAAAAAAAAAAAAGAAAATAAACAGATCTCTCTTGAAGAGGGTGAAGCCAGGTTGCTCCTTGGTGGCAAGAATTTTGAAACTTCATCTCATAAACTTTGGGCATGCTGTCAAGAGTGATCAATCCTTGAAGAAAAACATCTGCCTGGAAGGTTAGAGAGACAGAGCAGGAGAGGAAGACCCTGGATGAGATGGACTGACATAATGCCTGTGGCAATGGGGCAAGATGTGTCAGATATAGTGAAGCCGGCTCAGGACAGGGCAGAGTGCAGGATTATTGTTCACAGTGTCACTAAGAGTCATGAGGGATGGCACCTAACAACAATAACATCCATGTCTGGTAGCTCTCTGCTATGAGAGGACATTTTTATTCCCACAACAACCACTCCCCTGCCTCCTATGTTGAGTGGCCTTGCCAGTAGCCCTTTAGGCTAAGTAATCAGTGGAATGGGGGTTGGGGGGGAAGAAAACAAATAGTAATAATTGGGTTCAAATCCCAACTTTGTAATTTGTTGGTTAGGGGTGTTCAGTTACTTCTCTTTTGGGGACTTTGAATTTCTCATCTGTCAAAGTAATGATCTGTTACCTCCTTTGCAGGTCATTGTGTGGACTAAATAAGGTAATATCTGTAAAAGCACAAAGGAGGATCTCCCAAGACCGTAGTCTTCCTACATTTTGTAGAACCTGAAATCACATAAAAGTTCATGCCACTTAAGCCCTGCAAGGAGGCCATCTGGATTGCTACAGTAGTTCTCTGTCCTTGATCTCATTTCAGGAATATGAGTACTATAAAACATATTCATGAATCAAAGTAATTTATCTTCTATAAATTTGTAATTTGTTGTTGTTGTAGGTCACTGAGTCAATTCCAACTCATGGATATCCCATACAACAGAACAGAACTGGCCTGTAAGTGTCCTGGGCTGTGACCTCTATGGGAGCAGCTCACCCGGTATCTTCTCTCTCAGAGGGGCTAGTAGATAGATTTGAATTGCCAAGTTGGCAGTTGGGTGCTTAACCACTGAACAACCCCATGTCCTTCTCTACAGATTTAATAACAGGTAAAGTCAAGTGCATAACAACAAGTGCAAAGGAGGATATAAGGAGAATTGATGCCTTTGAGCTGTGGTGCTGGAGAAGAGTACTGAGAATACCATGGACTGTTAGGAAAACAAACAGATTCATCTTGAAAAGGGTCAAACTGTGCTGCTCCTTAGAGGCAAGGATTCTGAGGCTCTGTCTAACATGCTTTGGACATGTTGTAAGGAGGGACCAGTCCATGCAGAGGGACATCATGCTTGGGAGGATGGAGGGGCAGCTCAGGAGGGGAAGGCCCTCTATGAGGTGGACTGATTCAGTGACTGGGGTAATCAGGATGGGTGTATTGGAGACAGTGTGATTGGCACAGGACAGAGCAGAGTTTAGAGCTGTTGTACATAGGGTGTCTATGAGTCGCAAGTGACTCGACGGCACATAACAACAACAACATAAGTCAAGTAAAATTTTAAGGGAATCAGCTCTAGTGGCCTAGTGGTAAAAAGCTGTACTGTAATCCCAAAGGCAACACGGTTTGAATCTACCAGCTGCTCCGTGGAAGAAGGATGGGCAATCTCCTGCCACGCAGCCTTAACCCTCAAAAAAAAAAACAAAAAAACAACAACAAACCACAAGAAGGTCAGCTGCGAGTCAGTTCCAACTCTATGACATACACAAACAACAGAGAAGATATCAATTTATAACAAAATATTTAATATCATAGATTTAATCCATTTAGATTTCAAAGTAATGGTCTTAGATAGTACAACAAAGGAAAAATGAATTAAGGGATTAGATTTCAACTCCGATTCCCCATATGACTACTTTATGTTTACTTTAGAATATTTAAAAATACTAGATAGGAAAAAAAGTTGGACTTTTCTCCTATTGAGTACTGACCACTTTCCCCCCAAAAGTGTTAAAATCTCCATCAATCTCTATACAAGCCAAAAATGCAGGTGGAAAAAGTAAAATAAAAATTTCCCTATTTTCTTCCATCAGGCAACACCCAAAGACAAGAACACTCACATACACACACACACTATTATATACACAAATGCAGATACTCCACATTCACACAGTGCAGCCACTCCACTATCCAAACTCTAAGTGCCGGAAGGTGGAGGAAGCTCCCTGTGTTTCTAGAAAGAGCACTACTTGTATTCAAGAATATCCGCAGAAGGAGTAGGCATATGATGCATGCTGAAGGCTGGAAGTTGTTTCTCTCTTGGCACACTTAACACCCAGCAGTTAGAGACCTACTTGCCTAAATCAAGTTCTGAGCACTGGCAGGAAGTATCTCTCTTCCAAGGACAGGGTAATATTAGAGCTATGTACACACAGATGTGTAGATTGTAATTTCATTACAATGTGCTATGCAGTTGACACAAGTCATAAAATTAGAGCAGACTTAGCTGAGCCTTCAACTCTGCAAAGGTTATCTTTAATTATTTTCTTGGAAGGAAAAATATTTAATATGCAAAATCCAACAGCATTCTAATAATTCCCACTAGCTACCTCATTAGCATTTCAATATATTTGAGAATCAGGTATGGATAAATTTGTAGGCACCAACCAAAGCATATGTTCAGCAACATAATTTCAACCATAAAAACATTGAAACGGCTGCTGTTTTAATTTACTGAGTCCAATGACAAAGAGACAGATTTATACTTTTTCTCCCTAAACCTGGAGATGTTTTATGCTTCAACTCAAAGAACAGCCCAAATATTGACTACCAGTTGTTAGCACAAAAGTAAATATTTTTTCTAATGTCTCACAATTATAGCACTGTTGAGGAAGACACCTTGATAACCAGAAAGTTCCACTTTTAGACTTCAGTGAGCATTTTCATACAAATACTAGAATCTCTATAATAAAACCTAACTTTAAAAAAAGTCATTAAAAGATCAAATATCATAGTTAATAATTTGTATAGATGAGTGAAATACCTGCACATTTATCACTTTTAAAAATTACATTAGTTTCAAATTCAAGATACAAAAACTAGGTTTTAAAAAAAGAGAGAATTTATAATTGAGAGTGTGTTAATGGCTGCCAGTGCTGAATCTGCTTTATATTAAGTCTCCTCAAGAAATATTTCATTAGGTGATGTCTCTAATGGAACCTGCAGAACAATGTGGCCTCACCTCCTACACATCTTCACACGTTCCTTGGGTTTTCAAGCTCTGGGCAGCTGTCTCAGGTGCTAATACTGTAGCTCTCTGGCAGCAGAAGCTCTTAAATGTTACCATCCTGTGGTCTCTGGGCCCCTCATAGCTGCCCCACATCACAATGACCCTCCACTGACAAGAACGGATGCAAACTAAAGAAGAAACCAAATTTTCCCCCAAATACAGAACTCATTCCAATTTTTAACATGGTTTATAAATTAGCATGATTATTGTGAGGAGAGACCGGTCCTTGGAGAAGGACATCATGCTTGGGAGGGTGGAGGGATCGCGCAGGAGAGGAAAGCCCTCTATGAGGTGGATTGATTCAGTTGACTGGGATAATTGGGATGGGAGGGTCGGAGACAGTGCGATTGGCACAGGACAGAGCGGAGTTTAGGGCTGTTGTACATAGGGTCACTAGGAGTCACAGGCGACGTGATGGCACATAACAACAACAACAACAACAATTAAATTTATAGACACAAAAACCTGCCAAGTTCTATGATGGCACTTATTCTTTTTGCCTTACTGCTAAAAGCACAAACACTGGAGTCAGACTGCAGGGTATATATTTCACTAAGTTTGCTTCCTTGCTTGTTCACCTTGAGAATTGACTCAGCCTCCCTGACTCCACATTTCTTCACATATTAATGGACATAATAGCACTGAAGGGCTATGATAATTAGAAAAAGCAATCAATAGACAGCTCTAAGCACACAACACGGTACCAAGTGCTCAAGAAAGCTACGCTTATACTATATGCAGCTTTAATGTTGCAGGAGGCTTATTTGACTCACACCATAAAGGATATATTGTGCTGCTGCAAGCAATCATTTAAATCTTAAGAACACAATAAGGAACCATTTAGAACATCTACCTTCTTTCATTAACACAGAAAATAATTAGAAGTAAATAATAATTAAAAGTAAATAAATAGAAAAATAATTTTTTAAGATCATTATCCCTATTATATTCTAAACGTCTTAAACTTAAAAATGGGAAATGCATGGGAAATGACAGCCTTTTTAACAAATGGTGTGGCAAAACTGGAAAACCATCTGCAGAAAACTCAAACAAGACCCACACCTCACATCATACACAAAAACCAACTCAAAGTAGATCAAGGACCCAAGACTAAAACCAAGGACTATAAACTTCATGAGAGAAAACCTTGAAAGAACCCTAGAAGCACTAATCCAAAACTTGAATAGTCTTCCAAGTATTCTGAAAAACCTACAAATAGGAGGAGATAAAATAGATGAATGGGGTCTTCTCAGAATCAAATCTCTATGCACATTCAAAAACTTGCCCAACAGGGTAAAAAGGGAAGCCAAAGACTGGGAAAAAAATATTTGGTAATGACATGTCTGATAAAGGACTTATATCTAGAATGTATAGAATACTTGAGCACTACAACAAGATAAAGGTAAACATCCTAACTGCAAAATGGGCACAGGATATGAAGAGACACTTCACCAAAGAAGACATTCAGATGGCCAACAAGCACATGAAGAAATGTTCAAAATCTCTAGCTCTAAGAGAGATGCAAATCAAAGCAACTATGCGATACCATCTCACACAAATAAGAATAGCATATTTAGCAGAGTAGCAAACAACAAATGTTGGTGAGATGTAGAGATACTGGAACTCTTATTCACTGTTGGTGGGAGTGTAAAATGGTGCAATCACTATGTAAGGCTTTATGGCACTTTCTCAAAAAAGATGCAAATAGAAATACCATTTGACCCAGCAAGTCCACTACTGAGAATATACCCCAAAGAAACCATAACTGCCACCCAGATATATGCACACTCATATTTATTGCTGCTTTGTTCACAATAGCAAAGCGTTGGAAACAGCCCAAGTGTCCATCAACAAACAAATGGATAGAGAAGTTGTGATATATTCACACAACTGAATATTATGCAGCACTGAAAAACAAAACTCATGAAATATTATACAAAATGGGTGACCCTGGAGGACATCATGCTGAGTGAAATATCTCAGTCCCAAAACAGACAAATACTGTATAATGCCACTGTTACAGAACAGGACTGATATGGGGGTTGGGGGAAAACTAATAAAAGAGAGGACTAAATAATGTACATGGCATTGAAATAGATGAGGGACAGAACTGTATAAAAGGAACATATGATTAGGTATTATTGGCATGTCAAGAGTCCAGAATAAGAGTTGCATAGTAAAGTGGTCTGGCAGGGGCAAGGCACTTTTTACCCCAAAGAAAAAAGCGAACTGGGGGCGGGAGGGGAAACAGGGAGGAAAATGTGCAAAAATTAATAAATGGAAAACCAAGTTCTTTATAAACTTTCAATAAAATCGAAAAAAAAAGTTAAAAAAATGGTAAATGTAGACATTATAAATAAGTACATTTAGAAAACCAGTCTGCAAAGAAAACGTCAGTATATTTTTACTGTGGAAGTACCTTGTGGAAACTAAGAAAAAAATTCTATCATAAACTTTATTATGCATGTGTGTAGATAACTAAATTAAATATTTATTTATGTACAGCTACATCAAGGGGGTGGGCGGAAATCTGCCATTTACCTGTACCGATGCTTGTAACTCATGGATCCAAATTTGCTGAGTTTTCTTGACAATGAATTGGATTCATTTTCTGGCATTCTAATTAAGTTTTAAAAGAAATGAAGTAGAAATCAATCAATAAAACAAGTTATGTAACAGTTGAGCACAAAGCTATAGCAATATAATATTGTGATATTATTTAACAGAGCTAGTGAGAATATTTTCTTTTTCTACTTAAAGGAAGAAAGTATTAACCAATTATTGTAAATCATTAAGTGACACAAAACCATACCTAAGACTATGTTGTTATGCACCACTAACTCAGAACTAACTCATAGCTACCCTCCAAGGGGTTTTTAGAGGCAGTAAATCACACAAGTGGAGACCGCCCATCCTTCTCCCATGAGAAAGCTGGTGGATTTGAACTGTGTTATATCAAACTACGTTCATCAGTGTAAATACAAAACAATGCCTATTTTCTGTGCCATATACATGTCTTAATACTAACTACATAATGGATGATGGTAATTTTATATGTCTACTCCTCCAGCATCAAGCTACTGGGCATAATTATTTGACCACAGGTTCCATGGAGTTAATTCTGACTTATGGCAACTGTACATGTGTCACAGTAGACCTGTGCTCGACAGTGGTTTTGATGGCTAATATTTTTTAAATTTCCAGGCCTTTTCTGTGGTGCATCTTTGAATGGACTTGAACTTCTAATCTTTAAGCTAGCAGATGAGTACATTAACCATTTGTACTACCCTAGAACTCTATTATTTTTTCCACTTAAATAAAAAAGAAAGAAGAAACAACAATGTTTAAAACAGAATACTTAATTTTCAGTACTACCCCTGAATCCTAGCCAAGTTGTACTCATTCAGCTAACCTAAAAATAAAAATTATCCCTGGCTTTCTTTTATAGTATGAACAAGTAAGATATCTTCTCTCTCTCTCTCTGTGTGTGTGTATATACACATATGCTTGTATTAGTACATACCAGAAAATTAGGTGTTTAAAAAGAGAAAATCTGGATCAATTATGTATACTGCATTGAAACAGCTGAAGGAGAAAACAGTTTAAAAGCGGTATATGATAGGTTATTATGGTTATCACGAGAATGCAGAATGAAGGTTGCATAGTGGAGTGTACTCAGGGTGGGGGTGGCAGATTGTATACCAGTGAGGGTTTTGTTTGGTTTTTTTACTGTTCAAAGAGAAGGGCTAACTGGGCGGGGGGTAGGGGTGAGCGGGGAGAAAAGAGCAACAATAAATGAATGGAAATCCAAAATCTCTGTAAATGTTCATT